CTATGGTAGCGATGGCAGAAAGAACAGCAGCCTAGTGTTCGAATATGGTTGCTAAGATACCATGGAGACCCTCCATTGCTAGGCAGACAGAAAAAAAAAAACTGTCCATATGCCTTATAACCTACAAACAGCAACAACAGAACCATTCCCTGTCTTCCTCTACCCTCTTACATTAGGAATCCAAACCCAAGTCTTTAGTGAAATAATAAGTAGTGGAAGGTTAGAAATGCTGCCCAGTAGAGCAAGCAAAGCTGGTCATTTATATTCTCAAGCAGTCTCCAGAGCAACTCCATTTAAGGGCTTGTCAGTATTTCCATTATAAGCCCTATTTTAGGGGCACACAACCTGTCTCTGCATTAAAACACTCTAACAGGGTTTAAGCAACTTTGTGTCATACATTTTCATAAAGACGTCCCCAACTTCCATTTTATTACATAGACAGTAATGTCAAATTAATGATCAACTCAATCTGGAAACTAATAGAACATGAAGTTGTACTCTAACTCCTCCACACAAAGAAAGACAGATAAATTTCAAAAGGCAGCTTAAGGTTCCATGTTATTCTATGTCCAACTTGCTGAGTAAGTGCAGAATGCGCAGTGCTGGTCTGTGGCATAAGAGCAGATTAGATTATTTTCAATGGCAACACATGAAAGTGAGTGGAAAGGGGAACTTGGTTTCTTTAAGAGTGAAACAATTTCTTTAAGAGTTCTAGTCCTCTACTCCTTGCTTAAATTAAATGTTCTTACCTACTTAGCATAATTATGATAAATATCAGCCCGGGGCAGGTAGGGGAATGGAAGCTTGGAACAACATTCTAAGACTTTGAGCTTTTCTAGTGGACAATAACTGGTCCATGATGTAAAATGTTCACTCTATCCCACACACACACACACACACACATTTACTCTTGATCAATCTAGCAGCAGGACCCTCTCACATACAATCACAGGGACTGAGATCTTCATTCACACTGGCCTAAACTTACCTCTCCTCAGCTCCCCCTTGAGCGCTGTTCTACAGTCAGTAGTTGCTGCTATTCCTCAGGTAGACCATTTTCGTTTTTGTTTTGCCTTTTTGCTAACAGCTTGGAAAGTATCTTCCCCCAACCCCACCCCAGGGCATATCATAATCAATGACCTGAATTGTGATCATCCCACAATTATTAAAAAAAAAAAAACTGCCTTCCAAAAGAGTTTATGATACCCTAAAATTAAATGTCAACTACCTTAGTTTTCTCCGCTTCAACTCACTTTACACTAATTTCTATAATACTTGTGTAGTATTGCTAACCCTTTATTAATCCCATGATGGAAGGACTTGTGTATCTCTCTCCTCTTTGTGCTAGGCTGCACCTGGAAGACATCCCATAAAAGTACCGAATTCAATTAAAGGGCACATTTGGAATTTGATTCATACCTTTAAAGAATGCTGTTTTAATATTGTGTCATCTAAAATATACTAGGATTCTCTCATCTTGCAACAGAATTCAACATAAAGGCTTTGGGAAACTTTTTTTTTCCTTTTATTTTGGAAACATGTTAGTTCCAATGTTTAGAATGTCCTCTACAAATGATTAACCCTCCTTAAAATCAGAAATTATTTTTCATATGCTAAGCCCTTCCACTGAACTTCACAATCCAAAAAAAAAAAAAAAAAAGAAATAAATAAGACCATGTCAGTGATTTTTGAAATTCAGAATGCTGAAATTCAGTTGCCTCTGGAGTAAAAAACAATCACTCAACAAAAACACAGATAGTAACAACCTTTGATAGGAATTCAAGTCTTGATACTCCAAGCAAAATAACAAGAAACACTGTAACTCCTAAAATGGGAAAGATGTGGGAACATTCACAATAGAGAATGGGTTTAGGTCAAAACACCTGAGACTGGATGTTCTAACTTCTTACACTGTTTATTTTTAACAAGGAAATGTCAGAAGGGAAAATTATTTCTTCAAGTCTATAAGAATCACTCTATATAACCCATAGCATATCTGATCTCATACAATAAATGTTAGGTTTCCTTTTTTGTTGTTGCTGTTTTTCATTTTAAGGCTTTATTTGTTCAACTTACTTGAAAACACAGTCTGTTTTATATTCCCAAATACTCATTAGGTGGTAATAATATGTAAATTCTATCAGCTCTTTAGTTCTCCTTCATAACATAATAAGAACTTTAGGGTTATCTATGCATACAGGTTGTTAAAACAGCAAAATAAACTCCAGCCACCATCACCACCACCACCACTCACCACTGGGTAGGTGCAACAGAAGCACCCCGTCTCTTCGCTACAATGTGGATTTTCCCATCAATCTCCACATCAGGGAGAAAAATTCCAAATCAAAAATATTTTAACATTTAGTTTACCCTTTTCACTATTTTAAGTCTTCAAAAACAGCTAAGAAAACTATTTTCAAAAAGGTACAGCCCTTAGAAGGAAACCACAATAGACAAAATCTAGAAAAATATGCCTGTATATATTATGCTAACTGAACAAAACATCCACCGGGAAGTTGCCTCTGTTGAATGGAAGCAGAATTGAAAGTCAACAATAACCCAAACTTGAATCATGAACTAGAATGGACTTTGGCTTACATGGATTATTTCAATTTTAATTTGAATTTGTAATAATCCATTTGTAAGTTCAAGGAAAATGACAGAAGCTAAGTATCACAAGAGATGAAACACTTGTTGGCATTCCGACTGAGTAAACACATTATTCATGGTAAAATAAGGTTGGATAAAAAGAAGTCTTTTTGGATTTACAAGTTTTCATACTTCTTGAGGAAGTATATTTTTACAGCCATTCAAACAGCCTGACATGAAATCATTTTGCATACAATGTATTTCCTTTTCCTCCAAGTAAGGTACATGATACCACTCAAGCCAGTTTTATTCTGGTTTTCTTTATGTAAGTGTGAAAAAAGAACAGATGTTTTTCCAAAATTATTTAAGCTTGGAAGACATTCTATAATTTTCTTCAATATAATCCTTCAGAATCACTAAAATTATCATAGCAATATTTTAATAGCTGAATGCAAGTGGTCAAATGAGTAAGAGAGCACAACGCATTGTTCAAAAGCTAAGATGTTTATTATAACGGGATGTTGTGAATTATGTACACAATAATTTCATTTTCTAACATGGTCTGCTTTTTTCAAATCTAGTTATGCCACATGCCAAGCACTAAGAGGCTTCTAAAACTCACCACATCCTACAATTCACTCCCCACTGTCTAGATTCCTTCAGATCTTCTCGGATAGAATGTTTAGCTGGAGTTCTCAGCTGGTTTGATCATGCTTCATTACAAAACCTAATAAAAGATTATGTTTATAAAAGTGTATTTTGCTGTCATTATAAAGAGTGTCAGTTACTAAACTGAGATCTTATAGAATACTTAAAAGATGCAGAGAGCCATTTGTGAGTTATTTTCTAATAATATACATCCTCATTAGTTCAAATAGGCAAGGGTAACAGGTCTGCAAATTAATTTACTAGATGAAGTTGAAATGGATTTGATTCCTGGAGGTTTCTAAGTGAAATCTACATCTGCCAAACTTCCAAGGCAACTCGACAAGGTCAGAATTTCAATAATTTCTGCCTGTATTATTCTCTTCCGGGCTCCGTGGCTGACTACAAACTCCACCTTAAACTGAACTTGCATGAGAAACGGCACATGTCCCACAGGAACCAACACACACACACACACACACACACACACACACACACACACGGGCACAGCTCTAAGTTTTCAAAATTGTAATTAGTACCTACTCATGACTCAACCACCCAACAAATCCAAATGGCGCAATCATATAGTGACTCTTTGTCCCTGTACCTTGGATTAACTTCTTGTGCTTTTAAAGTGCTACAAGAGACTGTGCATTACGTAACATGTGCCATCCAGCCAGTGCAATATAGTTAGAAACAGGAGAAAAGTCTTTGTACCAATTATGCCATTATCTATTAATTTAAAATACTACTCAATTTTGGTGCTCTTTCTACTTTCACCCCATGTTCCTGCTGCCTTACTCTCCATATGGACTCTGAGTTGAGGATTGTATAACAAGTTTCATTCAATGTTTCCATTCAAGTTAAGAAGCCCACTGACATTAGAACAGCACACTCTCTAAAATGCTAGAATAATACCAGAGTGGTTGCAATTAAAGCCAAAAGTCAAGCAAATAAATCCACACTTTAAATAAAGATATAGGTCCTTGTGGAAATTTTACCCTGGAAACAGGCAAGCCTCTTGGGAGATGAACCTGCCCCACTGGTGGTATTATGCAAATCCCTTAAGGAAAACAAGCTCTATTCTCCCTCGAGTGTTATGGAGGAAAATGTTACAAAAAAAGGAAAAAAAAGAAAAATCAGCAGACTAGTCTTTCATGGATGGATGGGAAATGTCATCCAATTCAAGAAATCGAGAATTCTTCCCTTCTGTATTCATACTGACTTATCGCTTACACTTTGATGATCATAGAACGTCAGGTCTGAAGGGTACTGGCATGAAGCGCTGACACCCAGGAGCGCCACACAGGCATGGAAAGTAAGGGTGAGAGCAGACGCATTTCATTTCAAGTCTGATTAGACTGCGATTAGTGTTTTCCAGCTAGGCAGATTTGCCTGGGTTTGGGGGAGACAAGGTTTAAGGTTTTTCTATTCTTTTCTCCTATCTTTCACACACTGGAGTCGCACACACACCTGGTGAGCATTCAAACTCGGTGTTCGGCAGGTGGTATGCATGAATGTCTCTATTTAAAAGAAAAAAAAAATACCTTGACATCTGACAAAGACAGGAAGGCAACGTTTGTGCAGCTAGTCTGGCTCTGAGAAACGTGAAAAGCCCGGCAAGAAGTGCCAGTGAAAATGAAACATTTCTGAGGATGAGGACAGACATGGTAAGCAGGAGGGGCGAGGGCCGACAGACAACACAGAGACCCACAGCTCCCCAGCGCCTGGGCTCCACAGGGACCCGGTGCGCAACCCCTGCTTACTGTGGGCTCTTGGGGTAGAAGGGCAGGGTCACATGGCTGAGATCTTGGATGTCGAAAGCGGTGGGCTCCGCGGAGATCGCCTGGCGCTTGGTGCGCGGCTCGCCCTGCACGGTGCTCGCGCTCTGCTTCTGTGCCTGCTGGGTGGCCGGCCTGATCACCGAGCGGTACTTATCCAGTTCGTTCTGCAGCTTCTGGATCAGTTCGTCTTTTTGGTCCAACTCCAGCTCCAGCTCGTCGATGAGGGCATCCCGCTGCCTCAGCTCCTCGATCTTCTCCTGGAGCGCATACTGCAGGTCGCGCAGGGTGCCCATGCTCCTCCGGGCTGCCGCGGGATCCTTCCTGCCGCTGCTCCGCGTCTTGGGGCTGCTTCCCCTCTCCGATCAACTTTCCCTAAAGTCGCCGCTGCCTCCCGAGTGCAAAAGCTTCCTACTTGAGACCAAAGCCTGCCCTGGCTTCTGAGCATGCCCAGTCCGCCGGCTCCAGCCACCGAGAGTTTCAGTGTGCAGATTCCACTTCGCGCTCCGGGAGAGGCTGAGTGCGGGGATGAGCCAGGCAGCAGGTCCAACCCGGCAGGAAACCCGGAACGCGGTGGGCACCCGCCGCGGCTCAGCACGAGCTGCGGTAGGCGGAGACTTGGTGGGGGGCTCTGAGGCCACGGCTGCTCCGAGGGTCACTCGCCCAGGACTCCCGAGGAAGCCCGCGGTCTGGGAGGGAGGGGACGACCGCGAAAACCTGTGGGGCGCGTAGCTTGTTGTGCAGGCGAAGCAAGGCGCGGGGCACTAGTTTGGGGGTGGGGAGATGGGAGGGCAAGGCCAGGGAGGACCCCGAGCAAAGTAGGGAGGCGGCAACCGGCTCCAGACCATACCAGACTCGAAGATGTCGGGCTGAGAACGTTGCGAGGGCTTGGGATGGCAGAGCGCACGGTGGCCGCCAAAGGCTCCGAGCCCCGGAGGCGCGCTGACCGCCAGCCTCACCCACGGAGCCGAGCGAGCGCGCGGCGGCGACACTGCGCTCGCGCTTCTCCCACGCCGCCTTTCCCGCGGGAGCGCCGCGCACAGGTGGCTAGCGCTAGGGAAGAAAACTTGCAACGCGGCAGAGGAGAGCGAGTGCGCGCCTTAGCTGGTGTCTCAGGTGCCTGCGGGCCAGGAGCGTGTGGATGAGGGTCCTAACCTCCTCCCCTCCTCAGGCATGTGGCTATTCCTCCCGCCCCTGCTAAGGCCCTTCCACGCTCAGATCAATTAACTCCTTTTCGGGTAGCAGCTGAAACGGATTTGGGCTCCAGAAGGCCCCTGCCCTTCTCCCTTAGCCCTCCCACCTGAGCAGGTGTCTGTGGAAGAGTTTGCTACAGGGCTTTGTGCTACCTCTTGCTGACCGTGATTGGGAAGGGGCAGGAATTAAAAATCATTCTCCATCTTCCAAAAGTTCGCCATGAGATTGAACCATGCGTTTACAAACTATTACTGCCCCAGTCCAGCTGTTAGCAATGTATATTCCCATGTAAATGGCAAGGAAGAACACCTGAGGCAAAGTTTCCAGGGGAAAAGCCCTAGAGAGGAGGGGAAGATGTGCTGGGCTGCAAGACACCCTGCACCAAATCACCCCTGCCCCAGCTCTACTCTCTCACGCCCCATCCCTGACCTACACACTTCTCTAAAATGATGACAGTCAGCATGGTGTCTGTCTAAGGGTCATTCTCCTCTCCCAGGAACACTTGCTTACAAGCCCCCTAATATATGCCTGACATGCGAATTCCTAATCATTCCCTAAGCCTTCACGAACGGATCCAGTTTTATAGAGCTTTAGTAACAGCTTTTCCATGAACATTCTCGGGTGCATAATATTATAATGCTCAGTACTCTTGTATTGCCCATTCTTTAACAATAAAAATAAAGTACATGAAAAATAAAATTAAAACTGCATTGCATCACCGGACTGTTAACTGCACTCTAAATTGAGCCACTAATATCACTCACTTCCCAAGGATGAAAAAACCTTGCACACTTTTACTTTTATACACATACTTCTTGTATTAAGGTTTAAAGAGAGAGAGAGAGAGAGAGAGAGAGAGAGAGAGAGAGAGAGAAAGCAGCTAGCCCCTGGAAAATGAGCAAGTGTCTTGATTTATTGGAGATAGATGATAAAGAATATACAATCGGAAACATTCTTCCATACAGATTATGATCTACGTCTTAGTACAGATGACATAAGACATTCATTCTGTCTGCTTTCCAACACAGATATTTTCGGAAGTGCATTTATTTCAGAATGTAATATATGAAGTGGATAATTCCCAAAACAATTTTATTTGTAATGAAAAAAAAATAATGTGCAAATACTGATAGCGGTAAATAATAGTTTTGAATTTTTTGTTTTAATTATAAGTGAACCAAGCAGAAGCCCTGTGACCCCTTTACACTGACAATCACCTTCCACACAGATGGCCAATTTTTTATGTTATTAACATGTGGAAATTCTTCCATGGGAAAACATTAGATTCTAAATGACACTTTTGGGGCTCCTTGAGAAGTTTGTGTCTAAAATACATGTCGGTGGATATTGGGAGCAGTGGTTTAGGCTCACAGATGGGACACCTGCATCCCTGGTGTCCGCTCTCCTGCCCTGGCCTCTGGCTTCCTGCTAAGGTAGGAAGGGCAGCAGATAAGGGCTCCAGTATCTGCATCCTGACACCCTGTGGGCGACCCAGGCTGGGTTCCTCGCTACTGGATTGAGCCTGGCTGGTGTAGGCTCTGGAGGAATGAACCCACAGACGGAAGACAGATTCTCTGTATCTCCTCTCTCTTTTCTCTCTCTTTCTCCTCTCTATCATTCTCCTCTTCCCCAACTCCTCTATGTCTCCCTGCTTTTCAAAAACTGTGACAGAAAAAAAAGATACTAATGAAAGTGAAAATTTATTAGCAACAATAATATATAGGGCTCATCTTTGGATATTTTCTAATTAGCATTTTTAGATTTCAATGTGAAACATAAATAGAATTACTTAATGTCTTTAAGCATTTCTTTAGAAATTTCTTTAGAAATTTAGAAATTTTCCTTTATTTGTGGAAAGGCAGTCTACACAAGCCATGAAAATTAGACATTAAAGCACTCCAACCCCCTTAGAACACTTCTATTAAATATTGGGTGGGTTTCTGGTCCACTGGTCTGATCAGCCAGTCCCTACTTCACATCAGAGCATGTGGGCTCAGCTCCTGGCTGTGACCCCTGAGTCAAACGATATATTCATAAAGAGTCTGAAAGGCACTGGTGATGGCTCAAGTCACCGGGTTCCTCCCACCACGTGGTTGACCTGATTGAGGAGGCTGAAGTCATTGAGAGCATTCAGGGTGTGAAGCAGCAGGGGTGTTTGTGTGTGTGTGTGTGTGTGTGTAGCAGGTATGTGTGTGTGTGTGTTTTGAACAAAAGCGAATTTTCATACACTGGGTTAAGCTTATGTAACTATACACAATGTAATATTTCCACATTATGTTTCCACATGAAGTAGAATTCTCATGATACAAAATATGTACCAGGGTAAATCTAATATTGAAGGTCAGGAATCTTCTATAATAATAAAAAAAATAGCCAAAAAGGTATGCCTATTACAATTAAATTCCACCTTAAGATGTGTAGAAAGGGCCAATTTTGAGGCATAACAGGTTAAGCTGCCACAATTAATGTCTACATCCCGTATGGACATCATGTCCTGGCAACTTTACCTCAGTAACACACTAATGACCTGATTAAAGCAGAAAAAGATGGCCCACATGTTAGCACCCCTGCATCTACACGGGTCATCCGAACGAAACTCCTGGCTACTGGCTTCAGTTTCAGTCTAGTCCACTCCTGGCCCTTGCAGCCATCTGGGCAGTAAACCAGCAGATGGATGATCTGTGTCTCAGTTTCTCCCTCTGTATATATTAACCTGGCTCTCAAATAAGTCGATATATCTTTTTAAAAAGAGTGTTCCAGATATGGAATATATTCAGTTATAGCAATCAATATGATGTTTAAAAAGTAAATTTCTTTATGCTTTAAAATTACATTTGCAAAATTCAGAATTCTAGGTCTTTCTCATTCCTGATGTTTTAGACTGCTTACTTAGACCTTAAAGTACCACATTTTCATATCAATCTTATATGATTCTAGTAATTTCTGAGTTAACTTTTTACATTGTACTTGTTAAAAACTAGAAATATATTTTACGTAGAAAATCAATGTGCTACAATTATAACAGATAAATTAGCCTTATGTCCTAGAGTAAACTTAACTGCACAAATTACAAGATCAGGCACAAGTCTGAGTCCAGCTTTTAAGAAAGTATCTACCAGAAATCTGGACCAGAGTGGAATGGGATGTTACAGGCTGAGCTCCCCACTGGGATCTACATGGCATGAGCCCTTGATGGAAGATAATAATAACACTTAAGAAAAGGCAATTTCTCAAATCAATTATTTGTTTGCTTATTTGAACTATAGAGTTACAAAGAGAGAGAGAGAAAATCAGAGAGAGAGAGGGAGGAATTTTCCATAGACTGGTTCACTAGCCAAATGGCCACAACAGCTAAAGCTTAGATCCAGGCTGAAGCCAAGAGCCTAGAACTCCATCCCCATCTCCCGCATGGGCAGAGGGGCATGCGGTCTTGAGCCATCACCCTCTGCTTTCCTAGGTGAGGGAGATGGATCTGAAGTACAGCAGACAGGACTTGAATCAGCATCTTTATAACATGCTGGCATCACAACATAAGCTTAACTTGCTGTACCACTACACCAAATCAGAACAATGCAATTTTAAGTCAACTCACAAGTTGCTTTTCAGTGGTCTCTCTTTGTTAGAACTATTTAAATGCCAGTTTCTATTGGTAACTGGACCAAACTGTGGCATAGTAAACTCTAGTATGCTGTTTAGTTTTGTACTTAGTCCTCATGACCAAGGATAAGAATTACCATGCCTTCCTTAATGAAGTTTCAGAGAATCATTCAGTGGGTTATTCAGTAAAGTAGGTTCATTATAATATTGGCCATTAAAAACATGGGGAATTTGTCATCCTTTACTAAAAACATAATTTGCCTCAAAAGAACTGTAATAATTTTTCATCCATTTGTGTGTTCCATGGGCACTAACTACATTTTCTATGAGAGTCCTAAGTTTGAAATTTTCTTCTGCCATTTCTTGTATTTCTCTTGAACAGGAAAAAACAACACACCAAAAGTGTGGCTAAGTACTTCAGGCAATGAGAGTCATCATTTGTAGATCACTGAAAGTAAGAGGGACTCCTGAGAATCTATATAAGAAGGCTACATTATAAGCCAGACACACTGGTCATAATCATGATCCAATAAAATAAACAATTTCTTTAAGCTCTTATACCATGACTGAATGTGATTATATTCTTTCTAGGCATATCTGAGAAAACAGGTGCAGAATCTCCCACCATATGAAAGGCAAAGCCAAGATTCTGACCCAGATAATTTCATTCAGAGATCAACGCCCGCCATTCACTGCCTCCCAATAGGACCAGCCGTTATTGCTTCTCTCTACATTCTGCACTCAGACGAGAGTGTCCCC